AGCCATTGATTGATGGGAATGATTAAAGACAATCCGCATTTCCTCACCGAATGAAAGCTGAGGGTAATTACTGATCATCAGGCCAGCTCTAATGCACTGATCAACACCCTCTCCGCTGTGTGTGTGATTCCCTACACTCGATGAGACTGGGACGCTGACCTTTTTGGGATCTATTAATCTGCCGGGCCTTGGACTGTTTTAAGCAAACAGCGGACAGTGTGCACTCGCTCGGTCCAATTTCCCCCAGCGTAAATTGGACAGCGGTGCGCACCATTCTCAATTCATTACTGTGCTGCTGAGAGGAAGCGGCCCAGGTGCGCGAGTGTGTGCGTGTTTGTCTGGCTGCTGAATCTGAACAGATGAATCAGTCGATGAGTCGCTAGCACATGATATGGAGTGATGGATTTCTGCTGGAGCCGATGTCCACTGTTCATTTATTCACATCTCCATCAGAAAACACAACTCGAGCCCCTGCATGGAACTCATGTCACTTCGACGGGAGATTTTCTCTCTAGCTGCAGATCAGAGGTATAGTTTTAAAACAGACATTAGCTACTTTACGATTACAGCGCGTTTTGTGAGCAATTATGATGAACTGTTGTACTGGAACATGCACTGCATGCTGTAATCTAATCAACAACCAAAACAATCAACAGTTTCTCCAAAGGGGGAGTTTGGAAAAAGTCAAACCGTTGCGATTCTATTGATAACTATCCATAATAATCGATAATGAAATGCCATTATCGATTAGATGGGCTGCTCATGTCACAGAGGGACGTGACCATAAGATGCACAGCCGCTCGTGCAATCTGCGTCTGCAGAAAGAAAGTGTCCTCCAAAGTGTGGAAGCATTTGATATTAAACGCCTCAAAGAAGACGGTAACCTGCCCGAAATGCATGGAAGTACCAGAGTCACTCAAAAAGAAAACGTTGGTCGCGCAGAAGGCGAATTTCTTCATCGTGTAAAAGTTATAGCTTCTGTGCTTCTGTTTGAACCGTCCGCTACCTTCGGGACACTGTTCTCTTGCACCTCGCTAGCATTACATCACGCAATCAACAGTAGAATATTACGTCTAGTGATTGGTGCACAAATGTACTTTTATTTGCATTCGCCACAACCATCATACCCCTTCCTTTCGTTTTAGCGAACTAGCAAATATGTTTTTAAATGTTATAAAATGCAGTTTTACTTATACATACATCACTTTATTAAACAAAAAATGAAATATGAAATATTACCCGAGTAATATAATAAATAATAAATACTTCCTTTAAAACAGTGGTAACTTTATTATTTATAATTACAGGTCATTTTTTCAGGATATTCTGCTGCCTAACGGGGTTTTGTCCTAATTGCATAGTGTGAATATAATGAAAGACCAATTGTTTTGCTTTTATTTAGGAATTTATATTTAGAGAATCTTCCCTGATCAAAAACAAACTTTGTCTTTCATTTAAAGTTTAAAATGTCAAAATTAAAGATTATTAAACTCTTATTATTAAAATCTAATTTAAGAAGCGTTTAGTTTAAACTAATCAATTAGCAAAATAATCGTTTGTTGCTACTTTAATTGGCAGGGTTGATAATAAATGAAAAAAAAGCACTAAAAGCATTTTAATTATTATTTTTAATCTTAGGGCGCTTTTAAAAACATACCTTAGTACATGGAATATGCGTTTTGTACTTGTTTATGAAATTCACTCAATTAAAAATATCAAAATAAACGCAAAGCTTATTTTCACAGCCCATTTAATGCCAATTTATACTTCTGTGTCTTAACCCTTGCGTAGGAACACGCCCCTAAACTGGATTCTGGTGTGAACCCCTTGAAATTTGTAAAGCCATGGTCACACTACCCAAAAACCTCCAATGACTTGACTGGCATCGATGCGGAAGCTCCTCCCAGCTGGGAGGATCTTTTGACCTGCACTCGGGTCACACTAGGCATCTTGAGATTGGCGAGGTCAGGTCCGTGAGCTTTTTTTTTGATCACTCAATATGAAGCAAATGAGCATTTTTAGGACGCCAATATTGCTTTAAAGTAGATTAGAGAGCATCCTGTTCTAATTTAGACGAGTTACACAGTGAATTGTTTATTTTTTAAGGAATAGTGTGACCGGGGCTTTACTCAACGCAGCATAGATGAGAACCGTGAGCTCTGTGATTGGTCGGTTTTGTTAGCAGCTTCTGTGACATCATACATATCTGAGCATCACAATTCAAGATGCACTTTTCTTCAGCTTCATGGTCAGAGTTACTCTTGTGTAAGATCTGTTTTTCTTTTGCAGGCCCATGAGAACTATTTCATTGCTTATGCAAATGAACTGTAAGTGAATGCCTTGGGATGCACATGAGATATTCTGCCATTTATTCTGTTTTCTAGACCAAAACACATCAGAGACAACTAGAGAAATGAGATAAATCGTACTAAAACCCATTGCTTGTGGTGCGCTTGCCAGAACAGGAAGCTGTCATGAATTGAAACGTGGCCTTATCAGACTCATTACCATTTTGGGAAATTTGCAGCAGCAGAGATGCTTATTAGGTAACTGTTTAATACAGCGCTCTTTGGAAAGGCAGCAGTAATGAGCTCTTTAAAGTCAGCTCCGAGTGTGATGATCACACCAGAGGAAGAAGGGTTTAGCCACACACAAACACTGGCGCCGTGTCGTAATGAAGGCAAGCAGAGCAGCTTTCAGAAGCTCACAATGGCCTGTGGAACCCACGGAGATGTTTCTAATTACTGATCATTACAGCTAGGGGTTTTATCCGTGGATGTAAACACAATTATGAGCGCCTCTCGCTTTCATGTGCATCAGAACTCCATACGACAACCTGTGAAAAAACGGTCTGCACAAGCACCGAGAGCACTGAGAGTTAATCATTGCACGACTTTTGAGACTAAGGGGAAGGGGATTCGATTCTTGAGGGAATATCCTGATGAAATGCAGAGAGAGTAACTAAAAGTCAAACAGAACCAGACACATAGTCGGTCCTGGAATGATCGGAAGAATAGACGTCTATAGATAGCGCTGGCCTCGTGCATCTGCTGGAGTTTACTTCATGACTCAGTCTTTGTTAATGAGCTAACGAGCCGCATCATCAGCTGCAGAGTCACATGATTCACTGCCTGAGCTCAATCAAGCCACGTAAACACAATTAATCAATTAATTACTCTTAATGGCTGCCAGGGACTGGGCTCCATCGCTTAGTCATTTGGTTAAGCGTTGAGAGCAAAAGACAAATGGAGGGAAAGTATGAGGAGCAAAATAAAGTCAAGAAAATGGCGTAAAAGTAAACACTTGACATTTCATAAAAGATGTTTTCCCTTGACCTTCACAAAATCTGCTGTACTAAAATAAAAATAAAAAATCAAGGGAAATGGTTGAATTTATGGAAATGAACAAAAGCTGCTTTCTATAAAATATCAATAAAGGAAATCCTTGGTTCTACATTTAAATCAATTACATCTTTAAAATGTGTTTGGGATAATTTCATTAGATTTTATTATGCATTAAATACCAGTTGAGACAATTACATTAAATTGCACTTTGTATATATTGCATGATACGAAAGTTTGTTTAAATTGCTTTGTTTACATTAACGTTAGCAATAAATGGTGACAAGTTACTTTATTACAGCGCTTCTTTAAATAGTGGTGGGGGTGTGACCCTGGGGAACATGCTTTTTTGCCGCACTAGAATAAAGTGTAATTGCAGATCCACTACAGTAGTTGGCGCTCTCATTGTCAGAGTGTGCGCTGGGAGTATTACACCGAGCAGGCGATATGAAGTGAGAAAATGAACCTGAAGACAACATGAAGAAATTTCTAACAGACATTATAAGAAAGGTGGACAGAGACGAAGGTAACGAGACAAAAGAAAGTCTCTGAAAGCGAAGACGAGGAAATATGACGAAGCATACGTAGCGATTGGCTTCACACAGCGGGATATGAGGAAAGACCGCTGTGTTTTCTGTGTCTAAAAATGCTGGCGGCAGACGGCATAACGCCGAACAACTTAACGTGCTACTTGAAGACATTACATCCCAATCACACTGATAAACCGCTAGAGTTTTTTCTAGTACTGGCAACAATGCTAATAAATTCATGGAAGATTCATGCAAGTCGAAATATACTTCTTTTTTCTTTTCTTTAATGTTCACAAGGACACAATGTTATGCAGAGGTGTACCACTTTTATAGATAAATGCTATTATTTGCGGGGTGTGCTTGGCGTAACAGAAAATAATTGGGAAGCACTGCTTTATAAAATGAAAATAAATTGAAATATATATTTTTATAATAAAAAAAAAAAAAAATATATATATATATATATATATATATATATATCAAGGGATTTACTCATTCATCTAGACGTCGCCCATATACGCTAATAAAGATCTATTATAGATACGGCTGAAACAGCTAATTGAACAATCTCACGTGATCAATTACAAAATTACGCATCACTTCTGGGAAGTTTAAAGAGCTAACCAAACGCAACATCATCGCTAGAAATCATGGGAAAATGAGAAGAAGTGTGAGATAATTGCAAGCTAAAAGAACATGTAAAAACAGAGCTTGCGTCCCATAACAACACGACTGTATCAGACTCAAGGCAAGGTGCTTTACGGTAAGATCAAATGGCGTCGTGTTCATTTTGTTCTTTTGGCCATAGAGCTTGTGGCCGTTCTCAGTAAAAGTCTTGAAAGTGTTTTTCCTCATCCGGTTTATTTTGCATTGCAAGACTAAATGCTTTACGGTTAAACAACAAGATTTAACTTCATGTAAAGTCAGAAATCCTTCATGTGTGTTCTGTGTTGCTTATTAAAAGGCTAAAACACAGAAAATAGTGCACTTTTCTTCTGCATTTCAGTGAAACGTAAAAGCTCACAGTGCTAGAATAATCAGTATAGGCCATACGTCAGAACATTGACATCCTCTTTTATGCATTTGGCAGACGCTTTTATCCTAAGCGACTTACATTTCAAGCAATTCTTGCTTTCCCTGGAATTTGAAACCACAACCTTTGCGTTATTAACACAATGCTCCACCAACTGAGCCACTTTAAGGGTGCCCTACCACCTTTTGCAAAGGTCGTGTAAAGTCTGGGAAACGTAAATAAAACAGGATGTAAACTTTTAAATTAAAATCCTTACATATTTGTCGGTTGTTATATTTGTATAGTTTTGACAGGGAATTAGTTTATGGAAGTTAACACTCTTTAGAACACTGCAGAAAGTTATGTTAACAATATATAAATGTAACGTTATTGCTCACTTCTTCCAGCAGCTTTTTAACTCTCCACATTTAAGCCGCGCATTAGTAACTTACTGTTTATTTACTGGTGTAATTAAGTATTATTTTTTTCATCTTTAACAATTTACCATAATGGCGCAGTCAACTTGGGGTGTGTTCCCTGTTGTTCCAAAAACAAGCACATTGTTAACTCTTAATACGTTTATCTAAAAAAACACAATTTATAGCTAGCATCCCATGTAGAAAAACGCGATTGTTTGGTGTCTAACTGTATTTCAATTTATGCTAACAATAAAATAACTTTTAAAATTAAACCGGTCTTGCTCGTGGAAGAATTTATATCCATAGGCAAGCTTTGAGCATTTTGCGAGGAACAATTCATCAACGAAACCATTGTACATGGCTTAGTTTTGGAAAGACTGCATCAGGAACTCCATCAGGCTGGAGTAGATGGTAAAGAAACACGGTAGGGCTGCGCAATTATCGCGATTTAAACGCATGCAATTTCTAAACGGCAAATTTATCTGTTCATTTATTTAGATTTATATTCAGAATACGTTCTTGTGCGCATCGTTTTTATTTGTTACCCAATCAGAGCTAACGCAGCGCACCAGGCAATTGCAGCTCAGCTAAGTGGGAGAAAGATGTTAACCAATCAGAGCTCAGAATCTTTGTATTCCTGCCACCAGCTCACCTTCGGGGGGAGTGTTTAGTGCTGGGGTGAATTTGGTGAAAACCAGAAATGGTGGACGTGCTGTTTTATCCTTTTATATGTTTTAGTTTTAATTTATTGTTATGACTATAGTTTACTGTTATGAATGCCCAACTATATTCAGGTTAGTAAATCTTTACTTTTAAGACAATTTAGTACAGTTTTAAATACATTTATGATTTCTTGGTCCATATAGCACAGCCTTTTCAATGCACCACGGCTTTGATGTGAAAAGGGTCTGTTCCATGGAATCAGATGCCACCCAACATTAAGAGTTTTTCCTCACGGCTCTTTTTCCGACACATCTCATGATTTCACCGTGTATGATTTTTTGGTAGCTGACTACTGATGGTATTTGCGTAAAAATGCAACAGTGAGAACATCTGAGATAAACAAGCTACTGCTCCTAAAGTAAAGATGTGTCCTGAAGAGTGCACTAGGCAGGTGTCTCTTCTGATAGCAGCGTCTGGTGCTCAGGACTAAATGCGTGTTAATGCTGAGAGCGTTTCACCTCAATCAAACCGTTCCGGAGAGGACAGCGCCACACACTGAGCCTCATGCATGGACTGAAACGCTCAAGCGCAATCTCCACCTCCTTCTCTGAATTTTCATTCGCCGTGACACTCAGGCCTTCAGGCGTCCTCCAGCGTGTCTGTTTAAATTTTCAGACTGCCTCTCCTCTGCGGATGCCCACAGTCTGGCTGCAGACTCCGAACACTGAGGAGGTTCCACACATGACTTTGATTCTCAAACTCAAACTCCTCTTGAAAAACTAACACTCACTTTGCAGTTTGATGTCTATATAGCAGCCTTTAGCTTAGAAAAAAGGAAATCTGCACAGATACAACGCACACCACCATCACCACTTCAATCCTCAGTAGCCATGTTTCCATCCAAAGATGTGAATTCAAATTACGCGCAAAACTGGAATATTGCATTAAATATTTGCAAATTAATTCAGAGTCCTAGAGAGCAAAACAGTCACTTCCTGGTAAACTGACGTCGAATATCAAAATAAAAGGTAGCTGCGTTAGGAAAAGCCTGCGTATATGATAATGTACTTGAACACGTAGACAACACGCAGGGATCTTGGTTTTAGTAAAGGAAGACGGCTCTTTGGGAACGCAACCGGTCAAGACCGTTCTAGGAGGTGATGTTACCCCCAAGCACTTTGGTGACAGACTTTTAAGGAATTTTAGAATGACCAAAGCAAATGTTGTGGAATGAATTCAGACCATTATTGTCGCCCCATTTCAAACAGAAAAACGCATTGCCATTCCTTCTGTATTTTCACCAAATAACTGAATACTTTCTCACTACAAAGCGGTCGTTTTTGATGTGTAGAAACACTAGCAATCGCTCGATTTAATTTTAAACATTTTATTACTTTAGCAAGTCCTCCTCAACAAATCTAGCCGCCTAACTGCATGTGGCGTGTCATTAGTGACAAAAATTGCAAGCAGAAAGTTTAGAAAGAAACCAAAGGATGGAACACTCATATGCTCTCCCTGTGCAGGTCCTTTTTAAAATAGAGTCTCACAGAAGAAGAGTCTCTCCATTTGAGGAGATCAGTCCATGTGCTGGTGAAAGACGTTCGTAGAGAAGAAAGCGGAGGTGGATAATGCGATCATTTCTGTCTAATGTACCATCTGCTACTGTATCAGTGTCAGCCTCTGTGGCCGTCTGTTCAGCCTAACGCTGGAAACCAGGCTCAACGAGCAACTCGCCTCTCTGCTCATCTGCGCTTTTGTTACGTACGGGCAAGAAATCAAACAAACGCTCGGCAAACCTTGCTCGTCAATTACGGTTTCATCAATATTTATATCACTCCCATAAAATGTACGGTGCTCAAAAATTCAACACGTGTTCCAAATTAAATGACAATGACAGACGGATAAAATGCAGCCACAATGGCATCAACTTTCCACACTCTATTCCACCTGAAAGACAGAATCTCAACAGGAAGACTTTATATCCTCATAGTCTCCTGGGTTAAGATATATATATATATATTATAGTCGTCGTATCCATCATACAAAAATCTAAACAAATGCTCATTTGAAGTAATTTCTTACAAATTTAATTTTGGTCATATCTGTATTAAATTAAAGGAAAAGTCCAATATTTACAATCATTTAACAAACCCTGTCCCAAATAGAGATGTGTGATATTTGATCACGTTGTAAATATTCCAGATGAAACAATGGTATAAAGAACTATTTGGAAGAAATGCACAACACACAAGTTGCTGAGGTCCTTTACCAACAGCTCAAGTCAAGAGATAAAAGCAAAAGACTCTCCCAAACCACTGACGACCATTTCAGAACACGTTTGTGACTTGCTGTGGTAACACAGGTTTATAATCCGTATAAAACAGGAAGAGTGACTTGTTTTGAAGTGAATTGTGATTGATTAATTAGACGAATATATATGACGTACATTTGGGGGGGTTCCCAGTAGGGGTGTAACGGTACGCTAAAATCGTATTCGGTTCGGTACAGTGTCTTGGAGAGTTCGGTTCGGTTCATTCGGTTCGTGCCAAAACAATAAGAACTTACATAATCTTTATTTTGAAAAGCTGCCAATACACAGTAGAATTCTTGCAGAAAATAAATAAAAGTGACACATTTCTGTGATATTTTAAATAAATTGCACTCTTTATAAAGAAAAACACATTTATTTTTTTTTTATAAAAAATGAAATACTGCAACTAGTTAGGATAGATTACCTATCCACATTTTCTGAAGAGAGCATAGATCTGGTTATAATATCTCCAGCAGTAGAAAATGTTAGATGTGTTGCCTGCCCGATCTCCATGGAACAATGTCGGCATACAACTTTATCCACTCATCTATCCCCGTTATGCATTTTAACAGAGAAGCCAAAGTGTTCTCAAACACGAGACCGTAGTGAGGTGAGCGGGTCTTCAAGCTCTGGCTTCTCTTTCGCTTTTGATATGATTCCATTTTCCTACTCGTGCTCGTGCTCGTCACTCAATAGCGTCCGTCCATTGTTGCGCTGCGCTTAATATCGCGCTAATAATAGATTTATATCATTTAATAAAAATACAGAATACCGAAACAGTACGCAAGTGTCCCGAACCGAACAGGCCGTACCGAAACGGTTCAATACATACCGTGAACCATTACACCCCTAGTTCCCATATAGATCATTTGATCACTTCATCCAAGTAAAATCTCAAAAACACCTTATAAAAGAGCAACTCTCAGCTGTGCGCGCTGTTAAATACTGTCCCTGAGAGAGACCACAAAATATTTCCATAAATAGTAAATTTGACATTTTTACGAGATTATTTTTCATTATTACCATTTTTTAAGGTAATTTGTACGGCAAACATTTTATTAGTTAAAATTTAACACACAGATATTAGTAATCAACTTTTATGATCAATCAAAAGTTATTCTATAGGAAGCATTGATTTGCTCCTTAATTACCCTGTGCTTGTACCCTTCTGAAGTGAAGAACATGAGGGCTGTCCCTAGTGAAAAAAAGTGTATTTACATTTCCATTTCTCAATTTAACTTTGTTTTAGGTAGGGAAAAAAATGGCTATTAGAACTATTAGAATTTTATATTTGAAAGCTACTGGTCTAAACCGATTCAATGATCTATGCTAAGCTAATGCTAACTGCCGCATCCCCAGATCTGGAGAACAGATAAACATTTTTAAAAATGTAAAAAAAAAAAAAATAATAATAATACTTTTTCGGAGGAACATGGAAAAGGGTCATGTTACATCGCTAGTATATAAATTTACTTCCCACTTATTATTGCATTTCTTTACCCTAATTCTATTGGATTAATAACATTAAAAATATGATTGTCATGAATATTACAACTAAAGCAGAAGACAAAACATCTGCAGTTTTCAGAGAGGAACGATGGTTCGCATTCACGCGAGATGTTTCAAATTTGGTGGAAATGATAGCATCACAATCACACACTCGACAACAGCCAAAAACCAGGAGCAGGCTGATGATTCCCTACGCACTCATGTGTGAAGTGCTTGAGCTGTCAGTCAAACAGTCAATTTCCAGAGCCGGGGCCGGTGTTTACAGATCAGTGTAATATTCACAAGTGTA